TCTACCCCAATGCCTGCCTATAATCAATGCCAGTGGTGGTCACCAGCCAAGGCCGTGGGGCTTCTGCACATTGACCCCATCCACACCATGCCACCTATAAAGAAAAGCTCATTCTGCACACATAACTTACACGGTCCCATTCCTTCCATACTTGCTTCTCCCCACCACTATCAACTGGCCTAAACACTAGATTACGTACAAAATCATCTAATGCAAAGCTGAAAATCAGAAATCACACAGAGCAGCTCTGGCTTCAATAAATTTGGTTGACAACAACAACTACTGATTGACAGCACTAGTGAATCAGCGACCATTTTTTTAAACCTCAAGCAGAACATTAATTTAATCTGTCTATTTAATTCAAAAAAATTAACACAACTGACTATAACTATAATATAATACAAAAGCATAATAAGAAATCAAAAAATAACAATGTACTATACATTAAAAATCGCAAAGATCATAATTGTAAGAAAATTACCTTCTTGGGTGCGGCACAAATTTTTCTCTTCTTTAACTAAGAATCATCGCTACAATCAACATCTACTGGTTGAGTCTCTGTTTCAGGCACGGATTCACGTCGGCTTCCCCCTAACTCAGAATCCTCAACAACTTTACCTTTTCCCTTATCAGTCACAGGAACATCTCCTATGACTGGTTCGAAATTTGTGTCGGGTAATGACAGGTAGGGAGTTTCATCGACTGACGCGACATTAATATTTTTGCCTTTTCCACCCTCTAATTCTACATTTTCAGTTGTGTTTTCAACATGACTACTACTAGAGTTACGACTAAGTGGAGACTGAGAATCAGAAAATAAGGAAAAACTAGGCCCAGACATGGCTGAGGCAACGGATTCAGCAGCTACTTCTTTTGAAGAATGATATTGTCCAAAGCGCCACCATTTACGCGCACAACTCTTCCGACCCATAGAGAAAACAACAACCCATAGACATTGATTCATAAAAGTACAAAGGAAAACATAAAAATCCTATGATTTTGAAAACCCACTTTCACTAAAATGTACTTTCAGAAGCAAAAAATTCACCCAAAGAAAAAATGTCACCCAAAATTAGGTACTAGACGAAGAGATAGAACGGAATCGGAAGAAAAAAATTACAACTCGAATGTGTTTCACTTTTGTGTTCTCATCGGTTGGCTATGGAGTTATGAAAAGTGCACTCTGTTAACTGATAGAGAAAGAAGGAAAACGTGGGAATAATGGGCAGAATGGGCTGGATCGAAGATAAGGGAGAGATGAGTAGATTGGGCCGGGGCCGGGTAAATAGATTGGGCCGACTAGGTAGGCAGGGTAAATAGTTTGGGGATGGGTATTAAAGGTAAATATTTTGGGCCTAATAGGTATGAAGTGAGATTTTCTCTTATATTTGCCTTAATTAAGAGTTCAAGTTCACTATTGTTAAGTCCAAACTTGACGTTGCTGTACTTAATCACTACTTTAAGCTTTTCTATTGAAGCTAATATATTCTTTTGTTTTTTAACATTACAACACTTAGCCTTAATTAATTTAGTTCGGTTGGGCAACCATTTAATATGGATCTTAAAGGGTGCCTTAAAAATCTTTCCTTTAGATTAATTGAACCCTTACATAGAATCTTTAGGTTAAGTACACCATTAATAGAGTTATACTTTATTAATACATTACTTTACTTTAGGTGTCCTAATTCACCATAATTAATTAGGTGGCGACTCTTTAACTTTAATCAAATTCAGAATTGTCTATATGTTGTACCTTATTTTAACCGGTTTAAAATGGGGTATAATAGCTACTCATAATTAAAGAAGAAAAGCAAGAAATAGATGAAGAACAACTCATATTAATTAATCACTAAGGCAAATAACAAGATTCAATGATGAAAAGTAGATAAAATTGCCCAAAATGGCTAAGAAAGTTGAACCCACGAGCGCAACTTAGTGCTTACAATATCTGATACCCTAAAAATGGGAAAAGAAGCTATTTATACTAAGCTGAAAAATCTGGACAAAAATGCCCCTGAGGGACTAGTGCGGACCGCATAAAATGGTGTGCGGCCGCTGTAAGGCTCTAAACTTGAAATCCCATCTCTCTGAACTCAGGCACTGCGGACCGTAGAGAATGGACTGCGGCCGCGGAGGCTTCTAATGCGGTCCACATAAAATGAAGCGCGGACCGTATTGGCTTGAAAACTCCAACTTATTCTTGGCTGTGCGGACCGCACAAAGTTGAGTGCGGTCACATTGATCTCAGTGCTGACCGCACAAAACCTAGTGCGGCCGCAATGTCTCTTTGCCTGGAAATCAACCTCTCTGAAACTCCTTGTGCGGACCGCACAGAATGGTGTGCGGCCGCATTGGGACTGTTTTGCCTGAGCGTTTGTCTTGTCTTGGTACTTGTGCAAATTTCACTCCTTTTGAGCTGATCTTTGACATCTTGTCACTTTGTTGATCAAACCTACAATCAAGCACAACTTGTGAGCCTTTTGGGACTATTTTGTATGAATTTCTAATCAAAGCATAAGCAAGAAGGAGTATAAAATGCGTCAAAATTCCTAGTTATCAGTGCACGATCGGGCGTTTGGGGGCATAAGTCTTACAAAATTAAGTCTCGCAACGAGCCCCGAAGCGAGTCCCAAAAAAAGCCTTTTAAAACACTGATGTGAAGTAACACTTGGGCTTTATATTGGGACTAATTGTAGTTTTCTTTTGAATTCCAAGACCTAGTTACCTTACCTTTGCCTAAGTTATTGACAAATAGGTTACAAAGAATCCAAAGAAACCACCACGAATAAGTCTAGTAAAAAATCAAGATCTTAAAAGAAGCTTCTGAGAAATTTAACGCGTCAAAAATACGCCTACACCTTCTCTTCTTGATGTATACTATATATATTCTTGACCTAGTCTAATTAGATACGAAATTACATTTTAAAAAGATAAAATTTTTTAAATTTATAATCTTAAATATACCATAATAGTTGTGTGGTAAAATGAGTAATTTGATTTGTTGAGTACTTGTAAGGATATTAAACGGGTGGGCCGGCCGGTCCGAGTTAGGAAAAAATGAAACCGGCCGATTTCCTATCCGGGGTCGGTTACGGGTTAGTCTTTATCGGGCTTAACGGTCCGTGTCCACCCGGATAAAAAATGAATCGTAAGGGTTACGGGTCCAAGGGGCGGGGCCGGATTAGTGCATTATTTATTTATTTATTTATTTATTTTGTATTTTGTATAACTATTGTAATTTATATTAATATAAAGTAATAATATAAAGAATACAATGAAGATGGAAAAAAAAAATTGCACGTATAAATTACAAGTGCTACATTTATTTCAAAATTCAAACTTACAAATTGAAAGGTTTACATTTAACAAGTAAATTAACGAAAAAGAGTAAATTCAAAGGTTTTGTATTGCCTTAGACTCTAAAACCTTTTAAAAAAAATCTAGCCATTAAATCGGATCGGGCCGGTTAACTAGTTCTACAGGAATTTTGATTGACCGGGTTTGATCGGTCCGGTTAACCGAATGAATTAAAATGAACGGACCAACCCCCTAACCCCAGTAACCCAGCCCACCCGGCTCCTTAAGCATCGGGCCTGTTCCTAGTCAACCCAGACCGTTTGACACCTCTAAGTACTTGTTTAAGAATGATTTGTACGAAGAAAAAAGGAATAGGGGTTATAGTCCCCAAATAATATATATACACACACGTAGGTTATCTCAAGTGGGTGGCTCTCTTAAATCTTTTTATGTCAAGTTGGCATGTGGATCTGGCCCAGAGCTAGAGTTTAGATTATAGGTTCGATCGAATTCAGTAGTTATTGTTTCAATTTTGAATTTTTCTTAAGATATTCATTGAATAAGTACAAATTTTTAATTTAGAACGACCTAATAACTTAAATATACTAGAATTCTAAATCTAAGAGGTTCAGTGCCAACTCCGAGAAAGAAGGGATCATTTCACTTTAGTATACTCACATTTTACATGCCGATAATGGCATAAACATTGGAGTTGCATTTGGGAAAGGATATAACGTTAATCTGGATACAGCATGATCAACAACCGACAGTTCGGAAGATTTTACCGGTAGGCCCCAAACTAAACAAATAGAGAAATTATTTAAGTAAAAACTGTTGACATGTAAAAAGCAGCATTTTTGTTCATTAATGCGTAATTTTGATATTTGTAAATCTATCCTATTTATACTTATTTAAAGCAAAGATACCATAGACCAGTAATCCCAAATATTACTGCAGCAAGTCAATTAAAGTAGAGCATATTTAAGCCTCATTTAATTTATTTGTACTTAATGGATGTCTGAATCTTAATTATTTAGGTGTCAGACATTAAGTGTGTTTATGTTTTTTAGATTGAATTTTAATTATTCAAATCTTAACCATTAAGTCTGTTTGTTTTTTCCAATTTTACAATCACTTAATGGGTCTGATATAAAAGCAGCAAGCCCCAACCTCCAAATTAAAATATCTATTCCATTTTGGTACTCTCTAGAAACAACATCTCTACTTACATAAGGTAGGGGATAAGGTCTGCGTATACACTACCCTCCCTACACCCACATATAGGAATATACGGAGCATGTGTTGTTGTTGTATAACATTCTAGTATTATTCCCTCCGTTTCATATTAAATAACGTAGTTTGACTCGGCACGAAGTTTAAAAAAAGAAGAAGAAGACTTTTGAAATTTGTGATCTTAAAAGCTTAAGAGGTAAAAAGTTTGTGGGGCCATGACATTTGTGTGGCTATAAAAGCTTCTCATTAAGGGTAAATGGATAAAATGAAAGAGTTTAAAGTTGAATTATTTCCAAATTTAGAAATATATCATTTATTTTGGAACAAACTAAAAAGGAAAGTACCCATTTAATATAAAACGGAGGGAGTACTGTATTTATCATCATCATGATGACAACCAATGGGTACTACACTTACTATAACTGGTACTTCTTCTTTTTGTTCTTTTTAGGCAGATTCTACCCAAAAAAATGCCGGCTCTCACTAAGTTTTTCTCTCATTTTCACGAGCTGACCAACAGTTTCTTCTCTTCATGGCTTCCTCAAGTTTTTAGATGTCTACTGCTGGTTTTATTTGTTCTATTAAGTTTATATGTACGGAGGCTAGAAAAAAACAAGCACAAGAAAATGATAGACAAGAAATGCTCTACAAAAAGAGGAAGTTACTGGGTTTAGCTGCTACTGAACCACTTGATTGTGCGATTTGCTTATGTGATTTTTAGAATGGAGATAAAGGGAGGAAGATTACAAGTTGCAGTCACATTTTCCATGAAAATTGCCTGGATAAATGGATAATGCATGGCAAGGGACAAAACAGTAATTGCCCGCTTTGCCGGAGTGTGATTATACCGAACTATATGGTTGAAGAGATCCAGACAGTTGAAGATGAAGGACTGAGGTTTAATCTCTTTGAGGAAGAACTTGCTCTTCTATTGCTTTCTGGCTTGAGTAATCGATGTTCTACCCACAGGTGTTTTTAGTCACAAATTTGATTTGTTGAGTACTTGTTTAAAAATGATTTTTACGGGAAAAAAAAAGGAATAGGTGTTAGTAGTCCCCAATAATATATACGTAGGTTATCAGTGTGTGGTTCTCATTAAATCTTTTAATGTCAAGTTGGCATTATCAGGGGCAAAGCTTAGAATTTAGATTACGGATTTGGTCGAATTCAGTAGTTTTAGTTTAACTCTGTATTTTTCTTAAAAAATTTATTGATCAATATATATATATGTTATTAATTTAGAACGATCTAACAACATAAACATGCTAAAATTCCAAACCTACCCGGTTCAGCCCCGACTATTGAGAAAGAAAGGATCATTTCACGTAACTATACTCACATTTTACATGCCGACAATGGCATAAACATTGAAGTTGCATTTGGGAAAGAATATAACGTTAACCTGTACAGCATGATCGACAACCGACAGTTCGGAAGATATTATAGATAGGCCCCAAACTAAAGAAATAGAGAAATCATTTAAGTAAAAACTAATGACATGTAAAAAGCAACATTTTTGTTCATTATTGCGTAATTCTGATTTTTGTAATATACTATTTATACTCATTTAAAGTAAAGATATTTAAAATTATTTCTCCAATTAAATAGTACTAGTTGTAAAATGAATCTTAGGCCATCTCCAACGCTGGAGTGACACTTTTCGTCTCCTCCATTACTATTCCCTATTTCTTTATTATTATTTTTATTATTTAACACTTTTAATTGATTTCTTTATATATACCTAATTATGTTTATGTAATATCTTTATAATATTAATTTTACATCTTAAATTTAGCGTATAATTTTGATAAATTAATTTTCGTGGATTTATTATTTTAATGTAAAATTGATGAAAATCAACTATTTGAACAATTTTTAGCTCGACACAAAAGAATTAAGGACAAAGATGCTCATTTTGCACTTCGTAATGTATTAATAGATCATTTATGGGAGCATACTAGAGGTTAATGTTGAATATTTATATAGTATTTAATCTGAATTTTACCATAATATAATATGTATTTAATTATCATGTATCTCAATGATTTCACTTTTATTTGAATTATCCATTAATATATATAATCTATAATATTTGCTTACAACTTATTTTATTTAAAAATTTATGGTATAAATAATTTTATATTAAATGATAATATAAGAAAGGATTAATATAAATTATATGTGATGAATATATATAAAAGAAAAAAGATAGAATTTCTTTAATAGAAATAAGAAAATAGAATTTAAATAAAAGATAATAATATAATATTGAAGAGAGAAGAGTATAAAATGAAATATTCTTTTTTGGAGTAAAAAATAGAGTAATGGTTGGAGTAACTTTACTTCATTTTGGAGTTTACTCCATTTTGAAGAAGAAAATAGAGGCAAGGGTTGAAGATGACCTTAATAATTTATTTTATATTTTTGCAATTTAACATTCAAAGGCGCTTTTTGAAAAGATTAGTCAGACATAATTTGTTTATCAAATACTTAAAAAAGTACTTTTTAGATGAACTAGGCAAGCACAAATTGTTTCATTCCAAAAGTCCTTATCTGAAAAGTTATTTTGATAAAAGTTATTTTCGAAGTAGACAATTCATAGAGCTCGGCCAAATATGCTCTAAGTCCATCTACCAAAGTTATTTTCATGACAAAAATTTGGCAGAACTTTTTAAAATTTCATAGTAAGTGACATTAAAAATCTGTAAAATAAGACAGTTACTACTACTATAATAAGTTAAATTATATAGATAATTAATTCTTACACTATCAATATGTATAACTAAATTATTGATATTTAAAATTAAAAAAAAATCGATATCTCATAGAAAAAGAAAAGCGTAAAAGACCAGCCACATTTTGGAAGAGTCAAATAGCCAAATTGACGAGCGTTGGGCCTAGTTTATTTCCTGGCAGTGAGAAGGAAACAAGAGGGGCTAGAAAGCAACAAAAAAGTCAAAAACATTGAATTTGAGTCATGCAAACTAACAAAACTTGACCTTTGGAACTAATTGTTACGACGAGAAAATCATGTCTGTGTTAGGTGTATACAATAATTTTCTTATCATATTTGATTTTTCTATTTGTTGAAGGAAAGGGCAATATAATTACCTTAATTGAGTTTTCCTTTTTGTGGAAGAAAATTATAGTTCTCCTATATTTGGCTAGTCCTTTTTCTTGTAGGAAAAGGTTTGGACTTCTATAAATTGAGGATCCTTCTTTCTCATTCAATAGCATCCATAATGTAGCCATATGGGGTAAAGAGTCGTGTTTAGGGGGAGAACTTTATGGGACAAGTGTTAGTGTGTCACTTGTGTTTGCCTCTTCCTCGACATAACAGTGGTATCAGAGCGAGGTTCAAGACAGGTTCATCTTGGCAGGTTCAGTTCTAGCCGCAACATATTTGACGATAATCGTGATTTTTGTCTGAGAAATTTGACCAGTGTGCTACGCACGTTGAGACAAACTTTGTGGTGGAGATTTGGAGATGCAACCTGTTGAAGGCTATGTGAAGAAGGTGATAAACACGACTCTTTACCCCATATGGCTACATTGTGGATGCTACTGAATGAGAAGGAAAAATCCTCAATTTATAGAAGTCCAAACCTTTTCCTACAAGAAAAAGGACTAGCCAAATATAGGAGAATTATAATTTTCTTCTACAAAAAGGAAAACCCAATTAAGGTAATTATATTGCCCTTTCCTTCAACAAATAGGAAAACCAAATATGGTATGAAAATTATGGCAAACACCTAACAATTCTCCCCCTTTGCCGGAATTTTCTAACAAAATAAACTTGATACTCTTCCTCGACATAACAGTCTGCACTAGTGCACCTTCTTCTTAACGTATACTCCCTCTATTTTAAACCTAATTTGATTTGGCATGGAATTTAATTAAAAAAAAACTTTTTAAGTTTTGAGATTTTTAACGACCATCATATTTGTGTCATATCTTTTATTTTTTCTAATTTCAGTTAATAATCTTATAGCACACTGACCCTCTATTCCACAAAAATAGACTACTCATCCCAAATATAACTGCGGCAAGTCAACTAATTAAAGTAGAGCATATCCGTAAAGCAGCGAGCCGCCGCCTCCAAATTAAATTATATATACCATTTTAGTACTACACTTACTATAACTAGTATTTCTTCTTTCTGTTATTTTTAGCATATTCTAAACACAAAAAATGCCAGCTCTCACTAAATTTTTCTCTCATTTTTTCGAACTGATCAACAGTTTCTTCTTTTCATGGTTTCCTCAAGTTTTGAGATGTCTGCTGCTGGTTTTTATTGTTCTATTTAGTTCGTATCTACGGAGCCTGAAAAAAAAAACACAATAAAATCATAGACAAGAAAAGCTCTAAATTTGTGAACAAAAAGAGGAAGTTACTGGCTTTAGCTGCCACTGAACCACTTGATTGTTCGATTTGTTTATGTGATTTCGAGAATGGAGATAAAGGGAGGAAGATTGAAAGTTGCAGTCACATTTTCCATGAAAATTGCTTGGATATGTCATGATCCAAAATCGACCACCGTGATGGCGCCTATCGTAAAACTAGACCAGCCTCAACTCAACAACCCATCACAACAATAATAAGTTTGAAAATAAAACGAAAGTATTTAACATTTAAAGATACCTTTTTGAAAAACATAATAAATCCCAAAATACAATACAATCCAGCCCAAAACCGGGGTGTCACTGAGTACATAAGCGTCTAAATTAGAATACAGTCCACTACAGTGTCTAGAGAAATAAACTGAAAATATGACAAATGATAAAGGAAGAGAGTCAAGGCCCACAAACGCCGTGCAGCTACCTCGATAGTCTCCAAACTCAGAAACCTCAATCAGCAACTGCTGCTGCGACCGATATCACCTGGATCTACACACGAGGTGCAGGAATTAACATGAGTACACCAACTCAGTAAGTAACGAGTCCAAACTTTGGACTGAAAGGTAGTGACGAACTCAACCGGAATAGATAAAATAGAAATACATGTGCAGAAACATAGGCATGCTTTCAAGTTAAATAGACAGCTCAAAGCAGTAAAGTATATACAGATCCAAACAATGTAAGATATATAACTCAACTATCTCTATATGCCAATGCACATACTGTATGAAATGCACCATGTGCTCCCACTCTCAAATGCTCAACCACTCGGTACTGTATATAGCCTATCCGGTCCAAGGAAGATCCATCCCGGAACATATACATCACTTACTATAAGTCACCCAGTACCGAGGAAAAGGGCGATCCAGCCCTGTAGAGAAGATCCATCTCCAAGTATCAAGTACTTCGGACAAGATCCATATCCAGGAAAGATCCATCCCTCAATAATATCATATGCACTCACTAGGGGTGTGTTACAGACTCCGGAGGGGCTCCTACAGCCCAAGTGATATCACAAATCAATATAACTGCTACGGTGTGCAGCCCGATCCGATAACTGTTACTCATAATTAGGCTCTCGGCCTCACTCAGTCATCAATCTCTCTAGTCTCACCCACGTGCTCACAGTGTCGTGAAACTAACCCAGAACAATGATATGATGTATCAATAAATAACTGAGACTGAGATATGATATAAAAATGCATAAATATGAGTGAGCACAGAATACCAATGAAATCAGTGAGATGACATCAAGAAACGGCCTCTAAAGGCCCAACTGTACCGGCATCAAGCCTAAATATGATATCTAGCATGATTTACATCTCAATCACTTTATCACATGTTGAAACACAGACATTAACAAGATAGAGTCATATACAGTGCTATGGAATCAACCAGGTCACAATTCTCACGGTGCACGCCCGCACGCCCATGACTTGGCATGTGCGTCACCTCAATACCAATCACATAACACATAATTTGGGGTTTCGAACCCTCAGAACGAAGTTTGAAAGTGTTACTTACCTCAAACCGAGCAAAATCCTACTCCGCAATGCGTTTGCCTCTCAAATT